CTGTACGGGTTCGCTTCCTTTGTGACCACGTGGGACAAGAACAACATGGACAGGGGCTTAGACGGCAAGGGTTCCTGGTCCTCTGCACGAGGGATTTCCCTCGTTGTAGATCGCTTGTGTTCGGAGATCTTGAAAAGAAGGAAGCAAACCCCTCCTGGTGGTTTTTGCTATCCATTGGCACTTCAGCAAGCTTCAGTAAGTGTCAAACCCAAGAGTAACACAAGTACAGTAAAGCATACAAAGGAGGTTTTAATGGTAGAACCGACCAACAATAGTTACAGCGGCGATCAGGCTTGCCATCAAGTGCTCTAGGGCCCTAGGGGCTGTTCCCCTGCGCCAGGGCACCCGGAGGTTCTCAGGGGGCTTGAACTAGCCATGTATGTCTCTTTCTTCGGCTACACATGCTGGGGCTTCACGAGGGCAGCAACACTCGAACACACTCAGAACAAACAAAGAACGGTAGAGTCACAGGATGACCCCCAAACAGTTCGCGTTCCGCAGTGTCTTGACAGGTGCCTGGGGCCTAGGCCAGGAAACATTGCAGAGGGTCTGGTCCCCCTGTCCGCATCATCTGAGGGACTTGGGTTATGTCCTCAGCAGGCCTGACAAGGGCAGCAACAAAAACATACACGCAACAGAACTAACGATGCAATAACTAAGATGCCTTCAATGAAAAAAACAAGCTGCAAGGGGCTACGACGCTGTCGGTCCCGTCGCTGGCTTCTACGGGCCTTGGACCTCTGGTCTTGAGTCGAGAGAGGCCTCTGTGCCTCGGAAAGAAACCACATATCAGAAGCAAGCAAAACCTCAAAACTTGGGGATGAAAGCGCTGTGCCGGTCCCACGTAAACAAAACCGTCATGGGTGCCATCTTGCAGGGCATCCGCGAGAAGAGATAAATAAAAAACTTTGGGTACCCAAGTTGGTTGCGGGTCCCAGTAGAATTGGAGTGAAGCTTGGAATGGCTCTGCGGCCCGTCTGGCTTACGCTGGGGAAACGAGGGCCCCCGCAGGATACCCCATCCACACCCGGCAAAGTTAAAGAAAGAAGTTCAGCTGAAAAGGTGTTGACGCGAGCATGAAACATCGGTATGGAAATCAGAGCTGCTGGAGTTACGAATTGCACTAATTCGGCCATCGCTGCTTTGGACACTTCAACTGTTCTCAGATGCCACTCCGTCCGTGGTGGACAGAGCCACCGTTGAGCCCCAACCAGCCGAACCAAGACCGGCAGCCATACAATATCACGAAGGGGATGTTGGCGATGCTCTTATCGCCCTAGTCCTTCTCGACGTGCTTGCATGCGCCAAGCGTTGCACCGGCAACTAGATGCGTTCCACGAAGGATCCAGAGATGATGGCAGGAGGAATGGGAGGTCATCTGGATTGTTCCGAACGCAAAACCTGGATGTCCAATCGTGTCCTTTCCCAGACCCGTCCAAAGTTCGCAGTCAAAGGTGCCAAGGAACTCATCAACACCAGCATCACCATCGTCTCCAAAGGCCCATGAGAAGCCACACGTCCTCCAAGTCAGTGTGACAATGCCCAGAAAGACTAAACTTATCATCGCGGTATTGAGATTGTGGGTGTCTTGGACCAAGCCACCATAATATAAGCCGAGCCCTGCCGTCATCGAAGCGACCCAGTCTGCTGGCATCAGCACCCAAGCACCTGCACCTGCATTCTCAGCTGCTGCCAAAGTTGGTTCTGCTTCAGTCATGTTGGCGAGCATGGCTCGGGCTGTCTATGGGCTTTCCAAGCTTACTTCGAAGGAGTGGGAGAGCGATCCGCGCTCCAGGGCACAGCGGGGGCGCTTCACCCCCTCGCCACCCCTTTGAACAAGCGAGGTCGTAGATGTACTCGTCCAGCAGGAAGGCACCTTGAGCCAAAATGGC